GATATTAAGTAAAGATCATGTTCCATGAAGATATTTTGTAAATTTCCTACTGTAAATATATTAAAACTGAATTTTTGATTAGTAATATGCATTTAAGAACTTCATTTGGACAACTTTAAAGGCGATTTTTCTCAATATTTAGATTTTTTTGCACCCTCAGATTCCAGATTTTCAGATAGTTGTATCTCGGCCAAATATTGCCCTATCCTAACAAACCATACATAAATGGAAAGCTTATTTATTCAGCTTTCAGATTATGTATAAATCTCAATTTCGAAAAATTGACCCTTATGTCACATATCTGAGCGAAACCGAAACAGCAGACGTTCTGAATAAGAGCAGGAGGCGCTTATGGAACAGCAGCGATACAGCGTTTCCTTGGTTACCGCTGTAAACAAAGCAGCTCTGTGCTTTTAAGCACTACTTTAATATGCATTATATGGAGGTACGATGAAAAGAAAACACCATCTAAACTGTTTTTCTGAAAACAATCAGTTCCCCTCAGATTTACATTCATATAAACCCACACCCCCAAATGTATCGTGATTCGTTTAACATCTCAACCGAATTGAATCGTTGCATATTTGTACCGATTTTCAACCGGCTCTGGTGCATCATTACATCCCTAGTGCTGGGTAGTAACTGGTATTGTTGCATTTTTTTTATCAGACATTTTTCTATTGTTTACATTCAGCACTAAGATCAAACCAAACGTTTATTTATAATGGGCATGCCAATTGCTGTGACATATCGTGACTCAGCTAAAAGCCTCGTCTTTCAAGTCCTACACATCATTATGAAATATTTTGGCTAATTTGACTGTTCTCGGCGCCATTTAAATCAGCATAGATAATGTAAAGTGTGCAGTATCATTGTGGGCCTACTCCTTAAACACACATTAAGCTGTACAGCATATAACTAACAACATTCAATTTCATATTAATTCCACATTCAGTAATTAACTAGATGGCATAAATATTTAACAAACCAAAGAACTGAGGGTGGAGGGGATACTTCCTTAATCTGAGGTTGTACATAATACGTGTACAAGTGTATGTCTTTGCGTATCAGAAGTTGCAGAACTAGTTAGGAGATATTCGCGTGAAAGAAGCTAAAGTGAAACGGGAACTGTGAAACTTAAAACTGGAAAGATTTGTTGTTTCTGGACATCGAACAAACCAACCAGTTACGTTTATGAGCCTTATTTTTTCCCTGGTGTGTGAATTGTTCAGGTTATCTCCTCTCCACCTGTAGCTGGTGTGTGGTGAGCGCATTGGCGCCGTTGTACTGTGGCTGCTGTTGCATTATCCAGGTGCGTGCTGCACACTGATGGTGGTTGAGGAGATATACCCTATATATAGATAGACATAGGGCTGGGCTGTAATTCGATAATGATAATTATCGCGATATAATTTCTCGATAAAACGATATGAAGAGTTCGATAAATGTTCTATGTAATGTTTATGCGCCAAAAGTGGAACGAAACAGCGTGACTCATTTGAATCGCGCCACACGGATCAAAGTTCAACTGCCGCGCGGCGCGAGCTCACTAGAGCAGATGCGTTTACTCGAAAATGGGCAAAGAGGCGGGAGCAGGTTGCTGAAGCCACGCCCACATAGCTCGACGGTGGTGACAGCAGCGGCAATCCACCTGTCACTCAAGTGGCCACGCCCTTAATTATGCAGAGCTTTAAGGCTTAATATAATTTACACGGATGAGTTATAAACAAATTCACCCCCCTCACAGTTGTCATGAAGGGCAAAATTAGCTATATAGACCAAAATAATTTTTTGAACCAGGCTGTAAACGTATTTTTTTCTGCTGTAAAGTTGGGCATTTTAACATGGGGAGTCTATATGGGACTGACTCCCTTTTGGAGCCAGCCTCTAGCGGCCAGTCGATGAATTACAGTTTTAGTCACTTCCGTGTTGGCTTCACGAGAGAGACCGGAAGGTTGCCGCTTGATTTATACTGAATGTTTTTAGACTACTGTTTTTCGTACAAATAGGCTACCTAAAAACCAAATAGTTATATTTTTACCATGGTATTGAGGTGCTATATGTGTGGTCTTTGCAACGAGACAGTCAGAAGGCTTTTCAATCTACACATCGCCATCATTTACCATGGATTTACTGTAGTAACACTCACTGCACCATGGTATTGTGGTAGAAATGTGGGATATTCACACTGAATTTTATTACAGGAGTAATGGTATATAATTATAGTATGTATTTGTGATTAAGCTATAGCGTGTGTGCATTTATACCATAGACTGTATAAAAACCTGGATGTAGTGTCCGTGATGTCACCCGTAAGTTTCTGAAGAGCGTTTTTGAAGCTCAAAGTGGGCGGAGCCAGCCGTCGCCATCTTGGCAGCATGTCACCGCGCGTCACTCCCGGATAATCGAAAATGGGTAAAGAATGTGCATTTCTAAGAGACAAAAAGTGATATTATTATTATTATTATTATTATTATTATTATTAATATGATCAGGCAACCCAAACCTGTTTCTTGATTTGAAACGATATCACTCATTAGAACATGCAGACACTAAGAAAATATATATTTTTTTATTTAGATATTTTTTTTAAGGAAAATTAATTAGTTTCTACAACTTTCACTTTGGAGCAAAAATCTGGCTTTAAACTTGAAATAAATAAATATTTATCGAGATAATTATCGATATCGACTGATATGAAAAGAATTATCGTGATAATTTTTTTGGCCATATCGCCCATCCCTAGATAGACATACCCCATGATATGATTGTAAAGTGCTTTGGGTATACAGCAATACACAGTTAAGCGCTATATAAATGCTTGCTTCATTCATTCATTCATTCAGTATCAACACATGTATTTGGTTATTTTCTTTTGACAGATGGTACAAGTCAGTACATTGAAGGGAAAGAGGAAGAGGAGCCAGATGAAGGCTTTTGTCAGTTCGGACTCCCATGTGCTCTGGTTCTGATTGGGGTTTACTTACGATCCACTGGCCAACCAGTCATGGGTGTCATAAACCAGCCGTTCAACCGCAAAATCTCTACGGGTAAAGGGTAAGAGTGCTGCTTTAGCAGTGTTAACAAGAAAATACGGATGTGACACAAAAATGTGTTGAGAATATTGTTTTAATACAATAAAAAACAATAATTAAAACTGAAAACCACATGAAGACTTCAGATGCAAAAAAAACTCCTGACATTTTTTCTTTTACATTACATTTTTTTCTATTAAGCTCCTATATTAAGGTTCAGTAATTTCACTTTAATGGCAATGAAAAGGTTATTAGTCAGTTATTTAAATGTCTTATTTTCATAAAATGTGGCTTTAGTCAATTCATTGGAATTTAACAAATATGATCGTCTTTTGCTGCAAAACCAGCCATGGGTGCTTTTTTTGGCAAAAATGTCAAAAACGTCCAGCTCTTTGGACAAGGCATAGTACACCGTTCACTAAATTAAATCACTAAATAATAATTTTAATTGTATTTTATTGGGTGACTTACCCCTTTAATTTCTTTTATTAATATGGAAATTTGAACTTATTTTTAAATTTTTTTTTTTTTTTTAATAAATAGGAAACAAAAACTGCCAGCACATGGCGGTAAATGTATTAAGTAAGTCATTCATTTATTCAAACAGACAATATTTTGTCTAAAATATAACACAATATAAATTTTGTATTTATTGATCAAGATCACATTTGCACTCATGCTATTTGGGACAAAAACAGCACTCGTGTGATATTGCACTTGTTGCTTGTTTTGTGGTATCATATTTATACCATATGATATAGACAAGAGACAAAAACTCGTACAGGGGCATTTTTCCTCCAATCTCCTGAATTTTAGGGGCATATAACTGTATTGACTCACATTTCTAGCGAAGTAAAGTGATAAACTAAGTATGTTATTTAAAAATATACAGATTATCCATGAAATTTTGGATACTGTGCAAGAAACAAGGCCTTGTTAAAACAACCACAAAACAGATCTGCATCCAGATCTCCCAGTTTGTTTGTCAGTTTTCTGTCTTTTGTGACAGACGAATTTTTGCAGATGTACTTCTGCATTTTTGTATCTCAAGTCCACCATCAGCATCATTAATGAAGTGGTTATAAATGAAATTTATCAAAACAAATGCTTTGGCTGAAAGACAGTTTGTTGTGGTAACCAATGAAACATCTCATCTCATCTCATCTCAAGGACATATTACTCTAAAATGGATTGTTGTATAATTTTCCCTCCTGTTGTGTAAAATCCGTGCATGCCTTTTGCATTGCGGGTCAAACTGACCCCCATCACCAAAAATTAAAACTACGAAAAAAATAAAGATTCACTTAAAAAGAGAAAACAACTTCTTCACCTTCAGAACACAAATTAAGATATTTTTCTGGGCTTTGAACATGTCTATGCAGGGTCAGAGAGCTCTCGGATTTCATCAAAAATATCTTAATTTGTGTTCCGAAGATGAACGAAGGTCTTACGGGTTTGGAACGACACGAGGGTGAGTAATTAATGACAGAATTTTAATTTTTGGGTGAACTAACCCTTTAATGTCTTCATGTTGTTGTGATTGTAGATGGAAAGGCCAGCACGTCTGGGGTGTTTCGTATGGAGATGTGAACGTTTGCTCCGTCACTCAGCGCAGGCCGTTTTGTCCGCAAAAGAAAGATGATTTGTCTGTGCTGCTGAGCTCCAGCGAGAGGCCGGCTGTGAAGGACGCGCTAGCAGCCATTTCCAGCGGCTCGCTGATGTATGCGTCCGGTGCGGGATACAAGATCCTGTGCGTGGTCCAGGGCCTGGTGGATGTGTATGTGCTCTCCGAGGGCAGCACGTTCAAGTGGGACTCGTGCGCTCCTCATGCTCTTCTGCAGGCGCTGGGTGGCGGCGTCTCAGATCTGAGCGCGTGCCTGCGTGCCCACGTCAACGGAAACAAGGGACACGTGGCTGAACTGACCTACCATCAACCGCACACCGAGAGTCAAGGTGTGGACAGATGGGCGAACCGAGGAGGAATAATCGCATATTTGGACTCCAGCGTAATTGATAAAGTCGTGGCGGCACTTGCTGGAAAGATATGATAAAAAATATTATGATACTGGAAGGCAAGAGCTTACACTCTAAAAAAATGCTGGGTTAAATACAACCCAGTGCTGGGTAAAATAGGGACAAACCCAGCAATTGGGCTGTTTTGACCCAGCGGTTGGGTTACTACCCAGAAGGTTGGGTTAAACATTTAACCCAACCGCTGGGTCAAAACAACCCAATTGCTGGGTTAAACCAACCCAATTGCCCTATTTTACCCAGCACTGGGTTGTATTTAACCCAGCATTTTTTAGAGTGTAGTGTATGTCCAAGTTTATGTGTACGTTATGCATAATCTTACGTCCTTTTATGATGCTATTTTTATGGTAAGATTTAGTGGCATATTCAAATATTAATTTAAGGCTGTAGCTTTTCAGGAGAAAATATATATTATAGTACTTATCTTCAGTGTACACTCTAAAAAATGCTGGGTTAAATACAACCCAGTGCTGGGTAAAATAGGGACAAACCCAGCAATTGGGTTGTTTTGACCCAGCTGTTGGGTTACTACCCAGAAGGTTGGGTTAAACATTTACCCCAACAGCTGGGTCAAAACAACCCAATTGCTGGGTTTGTCCCTATTTTACCCAGCACTGGGTTGTATTTAACCCAGCATTTTTTAGAGTGTATATATCAGTAAGTTTTATTTTTTGGTTATATTTTCAAGACAAAAAGGAAAAGGAACCCAATTGGTAATGTTGCGTAAATGTTTCAGATCATATCATGTTTTACAGTTTCTGATGGTCACCTGAGATAAAAGAAGAAACCGAAACCGACAGTTCTCCATTTCATAGTCGCTGGATTACTATACATAACACATGGACATTCAGGCTCTTTATGGTGTATTTTTTTACTTTTATTTTATCCGTCTTTTTTCCCCCCCTTATATTTGGGGAAAATGAGTGTCATGACAGTCTCTCGTTTTTTAGACACCACCGGTCAAAAGTTGTTTTTTTTCCCTTTCAAAAACATTAAAAAAAAAACAACAACATGATTATTCTTAATAATTAACTGTTGGCCAGTAGTGTACGTCACAATAAGAGAAAAGCTGATGTGCAGCCTTGATGTCTTTACATACAGCAACCCTTGTTCATTATGGGATATTTTATGGCTCATCATAGCTTTTGCTGAAATATTAAATAATGAAGACTTTCTATTTGAAAAAACACAAATCATTGTTTAGTTGTCATAATGGAAAAACTTTGAGAACTAAGGGGCTGATGGGGAAAGTGTGTTAAAGAGCACAGAGAGGACCATGGATGCCCTTTTATGTGCAAAAGCTGATAAAAAGATCTTTATTTAATCCCCTCTTGGCTTCATGTCAGTGCCAGTGTGCTTATGACTAGATAAGGATGCGATCCGAGTGAATTTATAGCAAATACTGGATAAGTTTACCATCAACAAAACCTCTTTGGAAAAGGGGCGTAGTTCTGCAATGCTTGAAAAATATCCACTATATTGTTCTGATGAAAGGTGACTGAGATCAAAATGAAGTTTGATCAAGTGAAATGAAGTTATTAGATTTGCAGAAGTTATATTAATGTTAATTTGACAGCTGTTTGCGGTCCTAAATGGTACAATAGCAAAAATCTGTTTTATTTTTTTCTGACATGTTGGAGTTTTATCTTTCACTTGCACTGAGTAAATAGAGCTCGATAAAACAAAAAATGTGTCCGTCTTCATTTCAGGCTTAGATTTGCAGAAGTTATATTAATGTTAATTTGACAGCTGTTTGCGGTCCTAAATGGTACAATAGCAAAAATCTGTTTTATTTTTTTCTGACATGTTGGAGTTTTATCTTAAATAGTAAATAGAGCTCGATAAAACAAAAAATGTGTCCGTCTTCATTTCAGGCTAAAATGTGATTATTTTAAAGGGGGGTGATTATTTTCTATACTCACTGTATATAACAACTGCATTTGTCAAACAATAAAAGCAACATACGAGCTACTCCTTTTTTGTTGTTTAGACCAAGTCCATTTAAAGTGGTCCATTATTTTGTTCAAAAGGTCAGTAATGCCTTGACATCAGGAAGTTTAGTGCAATCATAAACGGTCTGTTTTATTTCTATTATACCACTTCAATTAACAGCTGTGAATAGAAATTAAATAACACTTGCCATTGTCAACAGAAAGTTTCTGCTGTAAAGAAAAGAACATTAGAATAGTCTGAAAATCTGACTGAAGGTAAACATTTACAAAACTCAAGTTTACCCTAAAGATTCAGTAACAATGAAGTAATCGAGCCATGAAGTAAACAACCATGGAGTTTGACTCCACTATAGTTACAGTGTGGTCAGTCATTTTAGCCTTTGAGAACATTTCAGAAGTAAATGTGCTGCTATTTTATCACGCACAGTTTTTAAATTACGGAGTAACCACATTTTATGCTTTGTCCCTCTGAAATCCCTTACGGTGGAGTCGCAGGCTGAAAGATGACTGACAAAGAGCAAAACAACAATCTGCTTTTAATTCTGGAGTCTCTTTAAATGTTTTTATTCTTGGGATTTCTGTCGTTAAACAAGAGCCTTTATCAGGACTTTTAAGCAAAACTGAACAGGAAGTTCCTGAAAGCATTTCTGAGGACTTGAGAACACATGAAAGTGAACACGCATGTATTAGTGCGCTTTATGTCCAGCTGTACAGAGGGAAAGCAGTCTTGTCGTAAAGTATTTTGGGTCTACTGTGAAATAAAGAAAACACCGGCCATGATGTCAGGTTTGGACGTTCCAGGTTCTGCTGAAGTTTTTAACATGATTCCTGAGTGTTAAGAAAGTGGTCAAACGTGACGAGAGGACTTCCTCTTAAAGGGAGGCTCTGGGGTTTTCACATCAAAACCCATTTTAAACTTCATCCATCCAGACATTTAAAATTCACACACCATTACACGTGTGCTTCAACATTTAAATTTTGATTGGTATCCTTTTTTCCCTCGCTTACTCTAAATACAATGCACATTGGAGGCTCTTCCAGCTCCAGAGATGCACTACATAAACAAAAACATCAACCAAATCAATCAAGAGCTCCAGTTAGCAGGCAGAAAACCCCTCTCCATTCTTTCATCTTCTGATTCAAAGCTTCATTCAGATTGTGTGAGTAGCTGACGACCAATTTCTGGAATATTAACCCATATTGTGTTTTTTTTTAAATAGAATATATTTGTAGATATTTGAAGTAATTCTCCCCTAAACAAGTGATTTAAACAATGAAAAAAATAAAATCTGGTTTTAATATGAACTGGTAAAATGATTCCTCGGGATTGCACGAGCTCTATACGATGAGACCAGGAGCATCTGGAAGTTTCAGCTACGTCTTCTTCCTGTTCTCTTACTAATAGCAGATGAAGAGAAAGTCATCCCTGAGGTCACATTAATCCTTATGTGTTAATATATAACAAAACATTCGGCCACATTGTGAACATTTTCCATCAGATTCACCATTTTAAACCAGACAAAACCAAACATTTCAAAAGTAAAACTTCACCCAAAAATAAAAATGCCATTATTACCCTCATGTCGTTTCAAACTCTGATGCTATTTTTTACTGTGGGGGGAAAAAAAAAAGAATCTTCATGGTGGTTCATAGTAACCACATCTATCAATCTCAAAACAAAACAAAAGAAAAACTTTTATTTGCTGCTAAAGCTCCCCTCCACTGAGCTTGTTAATACTAAACACCATTGTTATCATGTATCCCATGACCATCATATCAAACCTGGGCCAAATTTAATAGCTATGTTGGAGAAGAACATAATCAGTGAACAGCTTAAATTCGGGTCTTTGGTTGTCGCACAAAGCTAACTGACGTCTTCAGAAGACTTCAAATGTAGCATATACATAAGTCCCATGGTCTACTTTTATAACGTTGGGTATTTTCCGTTCGTCCTGGAGCTTGACGTTGTACTGAAAAAAGCTCTGAGAAGATTCAAAGCAAAAATAAAAGGCATAAAGGCTTGGAACAACATGCAAGGTGAATAAATAGTGACAATTTTTAACATCGGGTCAACTATTCTTCAGATATACCAGGAAATCTACTCGTGAGTCCTTCGGTTTCTTCAAAGAATGTTATTTCAGATGCTTGAATGTAGGTTAATTTGTGACAAAAAAAAAAAAAAAAAAAAAACA